AAAAAAATCCTGCCTTTCTTGGGGACAAAAAAGTAACAGGACTCTAGATATAAAGATACCAGGAGTTACAATTATAATACTGCATTCCCTTAATGCTCAATTTAAAATGAAACATAAAGCGAGAGTAAAGTATAATGCTTCTAAGGTAATTCATTATCAGATCTCTAACTATTAAAATATTAAGGCTGTCAATCTTTACCGAGGCAGACTGCCTCATCTTTCTCCTGTGGAGTGGCTGGGGGGTTCCAGCTGCCAACCTTTTGGTTAGCAGCCGAAATGCCTTAGCCTTGTGCCACCAGAGCTCTTTCCACCACCTCCACCAAGAGCAAAAACATAATTTCCAAAGAAATAACCACACTGAGAATGGAATTATTGTAGCTTTGTGAAAACTCCCTCTGTTGCTTTTATTTTTCTAATCTCTTGGGTGATGACTGAAAAGTTCAGACAATTACTGTTCCGAACTGTGACTGGGAACTTTTGCTTTAGCTTTAAGCTTTTCCTGGGAGCTCTGCTGGCATAGTGCCTAAGGCATTTGACTGCTAACCAGAAGGCTGGTAGTTCAAACTCACCAGCCACTCCTTGGAAGGAAGATGGGGCAATCTACTTCTGCAGTGATACTGCCTTGGAAACCCAAGGAGGGGTGGCTATGAGGCAGATCTGACTTGATGGCAGTTATTTATTTTTTTTAGACTTTTCCCTTCTAACATTTTATTTGGAAAATGTTCAAACCTGCAGAAGAGTTGAAAGAAGGGTATAATAGACAACCTTGCTTGCAGTGTTACTAATTGTCAACAATCTATCACATTTTTATTATTGATCTCTCTACATACGCTTTGTGGTTGTTGTTGACTCTTTTGAGCATCTAATAGGATTTTTAGAGAAGAACGACACTACAAAATCTAAATCTTTAAAGCCAAATAAATAGACCCCTTCTGTGAATAATTTTCAAGACAGAGGCCGAAGGCAAAGGCTTCATGTAATTTCTGAAACATAACCTCTCCTTTGACTATTTCAGAGGGTCAGAGTCATAGATATTAATGATCACTTTAAACAGACTTAAGATTCCCAACACTTTCTGTGTTAAAGCAGCGATGCTTCTGAAAGGGTCATCCAGATTCAAACACACATCAGAGCAAGCCTGTTTGGCTCTCATATTTCCATTCAAGAATTTTTGACAATGCTATTGTCTTTCAGATAATTCAGTGTGATTATGACATTAACAATGTCATCACCCAGTAAGCAGATTAGCCAAAGATGGAGTTTCTCGACAGAATTTTCAAACTAAAAGAAGAGGGAAAACACAGTAGCTTGTTATAGAATTTAGAATCTGAATTACTTGCTTTCTCCGTTGAAAGCAGTGATTCATGTAGAACTGACACATGAGTCAAGTCCCAAAAGTCAAAGAGTAATATTCGGAACGTAGTTTGTAGTAAGGATTTGTTACTCTCACTGGGTAAGGAATATTAAGCCAAATTACCATTCTCTGCATTTTTGACTGATTGAGGGATGGGGTTTAAGGCATGAAGTTCAGGCTACTGCCATTGTACTGTCAAGTTTTCAGTTTATTAACCAAATAATTGGACTTATTGGAACTGTTTTATTTGAACTTTTGTTTCTGTAGAATGTAGTTAGGATGGAAAGTGCTCTCTCGAAATAATAATTTCCTTGTCAACTTGAACGGCTCAAAAACAAGCAAACAAACAACGCTTTATCTCTGAGTCTAATTTCACTACTTCATTTCTTCAATAAATTTTTATTTTAAGTTTTAGGATTTATATTTTGCCTTAAGATAGCATAGACAGTTCCCTTATACACTACACCCAATTGTTAATATCTTGAAAGAAAACTAACAATCCATTGTCATGGAGTTGATTTTGACACATAAAAAACACAACAGGACAGCGTAGATCTACTCCATAGGGTTGCCCAGGCTGGTAAGGAGCTCTAGTGGTATAGTGGGTAAGGAATTTAGCTGCTAATTGCATTTGGTTATTGGTTCAAACCCAGCAGCTGCTCTGCAAGAGGAAGATGAGACATTCTGCCTCAGTAAAGATGTATAGCCTTGGAAGCCCAAAGGGGGTTTCTCTCAGTTGGAATAAATTTGATGACAGTGGTTTTTATTTTTTATTTTTATTTCTTTTTATTAAATCTTTACAGAGGCAGACTGGCATATTGTTGGGTTACCAGCTAAGCTCTTAACCATTGCACCACCAAGGTTCCATAATATCTTACAAACATCCCTGCTGTATTTTTACATGGTATCTCCATCCAGATAATCTTACATGTCTTATTAATTAACAATTTTTTTAAAAGTGCTGGGCATTTGTCCTAATTTTATCTTGGTATTCTTCAAAATTTTTGTAAAGAAAGTACTCTAAGGAATGAAAAGACATCAAGTGCAACTTTTATCTTCCTGAAAACGTCATCTCCTCCCCACTTAGTCAAAAGGAAGTACATTTAAATTTTGCATCTACAGTCTTACTGTCCATCCTATATCCATTAATTGAAAACATTGTTTTATTTTTATTTTTCTTCTCTTGCTCAAGCACTATAACCTTTTCATTATACTGTAGTTCAAAGTTCCCTTCCCCTTCCTTTTTTTTTTTTTTTTTAAATCATGTGACCCGCATAACGTTTAAGGTGGTGTTTATCATTTTTCATTCAGGGCATAAATGTGAGAGATGAGGTTATACAGCTGGGTGCGGACGCTGGGTGCCAGACTACGGAACCAATAAAAATGAGAATTACACTTTCGAAGAACAAATCTGGTGGTTGGTTATGGAATGGGTTTTATGAAAAGAGACCCTAGGTAGGAAAACCATTTGGAGAAGTGAATGTAACAATTCCCGATGGAAGCATAAAGACCCATATTATGATGGCGGCACCGACACTGTACCATTGATGAAGGACTCCTGATCCTGCCAGGAGGGGTGGTATTTTCTTGAAACGTCAGAGCGTTTTCTGACGTTGCACACGTAACTCTTAAATTTCGCCTTACGTCACATGCCTTGCGTCTATAACGTTCTTCTTTCGCCTGCAGAGCTGCTTGAGCAGGTGTTGTTGTTGTTATGTGTGGTTGAATGGGACTCGACTCATAGCAACCCCTCCTTGGGTTTCCAAGGAGGTATCACTACGGAAGTAGGTTGCCCAATCTTCCTTCAGAGGAATACCTGGTGGGTTTGAACCGCCAGCATTCTGGTTAGCAGTCAAGTGCCTTAGGCACTATGCTACCAGAGCTCCCCTTTAGCAGGTAGCACAGACGATATCAGAGTATGTTGCAGGCAGCCCAAGCTCCAACGGTCTTACCCACTAGGATATGTTCACACTACTTTGATTTGAGGAGCTCTGGTGGCATAGCGGCTAAGGCATTTGACTGTTAACTAGAAGGCTGGCGGTTCAAACCCGCCAGCCACTCCTCGAAGGACAAACTGGGCAATCTACCTTCGTAGAGATACTGCCTTGGGAAGCCAAGGAGGGGTCGCTATGACTCAGGATCGGCTTGATGGTAGTGAGGTTTTTTTGACTTTGACTTGAGTCAATCATACGAGATTTAGGGCTTTGGACAGTTCCATTTCCTCAGCACCACGAACAGAGCCAGAGCCCCAGAACTCCATCTCGCCTGTGCTAAGCCCGGCTCGTGCGTGGCTGCGGCGTCCGGATATGCAAAACGGTCTCCGCAAATAATTGTGCGGAGTTGAAATTCAGTGCACTGAGGGGATGGATGAGTTACTGATTTCCGAAATTGCTGACAGCGTCACTTAGTGGGTTCACCCTCCCTCCTTCTTTGAGCAGGGGCGGCCTTTGTTCCTGTAAAAAAAAGATACTCGGAGATGCTCTATAGGGCCCTTCCCAATTCAGGTGTTCTGAACGTCCAGTAGAAATGACAGAAGTAATAACTGACACGTAAAGCCATAAAGTACAGACTGCGTCAATAAGGATACAAAAGTAGAAGAACTTAATATCTTTGTTTGCACTTTGGGAGCCTGCCACTTTAAGAAGGTCGGCCGCGCGCCGACCCCGCCCCTGTCCCAGTGTCCACTGCGACGCGGGCTCGCTCCCGGCGGCACGTGCGCGCGGCAAGCGCCGCGACGTGCTTGTGCGTGCGTCGCCCCACCCCTTCGGCCTAGTCTTGGCGGCAGCTGGCGGTCAGGTTCCCGACGGATCCTGGCTGTGGTGAGAGATGTTGGGGCCTGAGCGGCCGTGAGAGCCGCGGTCCAGACCCCATCGGTTTGCTGACGGCGCCGAGCCCAGGGTGCAGCCATGTCCGCCGGCTTCTCTTTCGGGACTGGGACCCTGGGCTCCACCACCGTGGCCCCCGGGGGAACTGGCACGGCCGGCGGCTTCTCGTTCGGGACAGGGGCGTCTAGGTAACCGCATGTACTCGCGTTCGTGGCCCGTGGGTTTCCCTGTTGGCCTCTACTCTGTTTCTTCCCGCTGGCTTCATTGAGGATGGGTTTGTAGATAAAAGTTTGCCGAGCCACCTGCCTAGTAGGCCGCCCGCTCGCTGCTCAGCCCGAGCCCTGCCTGGGTCTGAGGTCTTTAAAATCCACGAATGGTTCAGGCTTTGTTCCGACCGAGCGGGATCTGGCCGGGTGACAGGGCATGGCGTTCACAGCCCAGAGCTTTAGCGAGGCGTCCGTCTTTAGACAAGAGATGAATGTTCAACGAATGAATGAAATTATAATTTATTGTAGGATGTTACGTAGAGACCTTTAATGAATGGAAATTTGTGAGGAGGACAATTCTTTGAAAATTCGTATTCCATTGGAGTGCTTACGGGTTTGGACATAATAGTGCTTTAATGTTTTCGTAGTTATTTTAAGCGAGCCTTTTAAGTCTTTATGCCACTTGGGACCTTTTAAAAAAATCGTTTTTGCAACATTTGTTGATGTTAGCTCTGTACATTATGTGGGAAAATGGAAATACTTGCCAAACAGTATTACAGCCTACCACATGTTTCATTAATGACAACATTCTCTGGATTGTCAACGTATTGTAATTTCTCGCATTGTCTTTCACTTAAATTGCAAAATGTAGATGGTACATTTCATGATTGCTGTCAATCTGCAAGGACAGGTGGCAACCAAAAAACACGTAGGAGAGGTCCACAAAGGGATCATTGAAATGGTGAAGGTCATGTTATGATGAGAGATTTTTTTTTTTTTTCCTGCTTCATCCATTTGATTTTACTAGCAAAACTCCAGTGAATGGTGATCTGCAACCAACCAATGCTTCAGATTTTTTTTTTTCTTGGATTCTATGTCTTTTTCCTGCTTTCTCAATAAAATGGCACAAAATATATTTAGCATTTCTACTTTGAGCTATAAATATTATTTTTTTAAACTAAATTTCATAAAATGGCAATTAACTTAATATCTTGAAAGTGAATAGGGGTTATGGGCAGCTGAATACCTCATCTTTTTAAGTATTCATATTCATCTGGGCAAATTGAATATTGCTTAATGAAATATAATAGGGTGTATTGTCTGTAGTTTTGGAAAATAGCATATTCTCTTTGACCTTTGCCAATACTGATTATTGGCATTTATTTATTTATTTTTATTTTAAGAGTTTGTTTTACATTCAGTGTTTATGTGTACATTTAATTTCACTTCCCATTTACCATGCCCAACCCTAACGCACGCAGTCTCCTCCTCTATGATGAGAGATTTAATGTTTAGAACCTTTATCTTTTGAAGGTGAAGATGGAGATGCAGAAAATCAAGTGTGCACAGGATGAGCTGTAAGATGTTACCTGAAGCTGGAAGGGTGTGGGTGTAGGTGAAAAAGGCAAAAATATTTTCATTGTTACTTGTATTTAAAAAAGATGGGAGGGGGTGACAAGTGGCACCAGTAGACTAAAAAAAAAAAAAACCAAACTTGCTGCCCTTGAGTCCTATCCGACTCATAGCGACTCCTCCTTGGGTTTCCAAGGTAGTATATGTAGTATCACTATGGAAGTAGATTGCCCAGCCTTCCTTCCGAGGAGTGGCTGGTGGGTTTGAACTGCCACCCTTCTGGTTAGCAGTCAAATGCTTTAGGCACTACACCACCAGAGCTCCCACCAGTAGACTGGCCAGCCAAGAAATCTTAGAATTTTCCTCATTTTTATATCACTGTTCACATCATGGACTCTCCAGGGGCATAGTGGGTAAGATATTTGGCTGCTAACCAGAAGGTCAGCGGTTCAAACCCACCAGCTGCTCTGAGGGAGAAAGATGAGGCAATCTACTTCTATAAAGATGTACAGCCTTGGAAACCCAGTGAGGGTGGCTGTAAGTTGGAATTGACTTGATGGCAGTGGGTTTGTTTTTTTTGGTATGCAGTTAATCAGCAAATTCTATTGATTTTGCTTCTCTCATTTCCATTTGTCTTCATGCACAGTGCCACCACCTGGCTCCCAAGCTATTGCCATTCATAAAACAAATACTTACTGAATAAATTCCTATGTGAAAGGCTCTGCTTTAGGGAATGAGTAAAATTCTTGTTTCCCTGAAACCTTTTTTTTAAAAATTTTTTTTGTGATTTGGGTGAAAGTTTAGCAAATTCATTTTCCACACAGCATTTCATACACATTTTGCTTCATGACATAGACTACAGTTCCCCACAGTATAACAGCTCTCTTCCCACTCCCTCCCTGTAGTTATCTCTTCCCTGTGTCCTTCCTTCCCAGGCACTCCTGCGCCCCCCACCCCAGCTATCTCCCTGTGCAAACACTGCCCTTCTGTTCTCCCATGATTTAGCGCTCCGAGGAGTGTTATCTATCTGATGTAAATGTTCACCCCACATGCCTGACTGTTTTGTTTGGCTGGAAGCCACAGGAGTGAGTTCAGTTCCAGACCTGAAGGGTAACTAGTCATAGTCTCAGGGATCTCACCAGGCTCTATCAGACCAGCAAACTGGGTCCTTTTTTTTTTTGAGTTTTGTTCCACATTGTTCTCCC